CGCCGGCCTGGTTGCCCCCAATTGCCTCCCCTGCTGGCCTGGTCGCCCCCAACTGCCCCTTCCCTGCCAGCCTGGTCGCTCCTAACTGCCCCACCCCCCGCCAGCCTGGTGTTCAGTCATTTGGTTGTTCCTCACTAACCCCCCTGCTGGCCTGGTCGCCCCACTCAGCCTGTTTGTTCAGTTGTTTGGTTGTCCCTCACTAACCCCCCTGCTGGCCTGGTCGCCCCACTCAGCCTGTTTGTTCAGTTGTTTGGTTGTCCCTCACTAACCCTCCTGCCGGCCTGGTCATAGGCAGCCATCTTGTGAGGGCATGAGGGTTAATTTGCATATTATCTCCTTATTATAATGGATGGTTTGTTTATAATGTATATCTACTAAAGTTTTTATCCCCTAATTTAGCAGGTATATGGCAGTATATACGTCATACTAAAAAGGGAACCCAACTTCACTACCATCCTCTAAAAAATTAAGTTCTTGAGGAACATTTATTTATTTATTCATTTATTTATTTGCAGTTTTCTTCTTTATATTTCTATTACACAGTAATGAAAATATATGAAGATTAAACCATAGTAGTACCTTTTATCACCCCAACTTCACATTCATCAGAGCTTTCTTTACTTAGCTCCTCACTGCTTTCTCCATCACTATCTCTGCTGCTGTCTTCTTTACTACCTTGATTATGTTCCTGAAGATTTTGAGCTTTCTCCATCAGCAACATTTCTTCAATAAGTGAGAAAAACTCCTTGGCTTCAGGATTTTCTGGTACATAGATTAGGATCATCTGACATAATTATTTAGCCTAATGATAGTCTTGGGCCATTTCTGCTTTCAGGAACCTGGGTTCCGGCAAAGGGAAGACAGAGTGGACTAGAGTTGTGGGAGGAGAGAGCTGAAGGGATAGCCGCCAGGATCCTTGTGCTGACTCCCTCTTCCACACTGCAGATATCATCTTTCTTCAAGGAATTTTTAAATGACTTGAAATTCTTATTTTGATCCTTATTGAACCCGTAGTTTAGTAGGGCATTAAAGAGTTTTAATAGGATGTGATAAACCCTATCATAAGGCAAGACTAGGTGTGGGGATGTGTGACTTGTTCATGCCCTCCAGAGGAACATTTAAAAAAAACCTGACACTCATGGGTATATGGCTCAAGGATGGTATGTATGAGAGGAAGAATGAAGTAGATGGAGACTCCTTTTAAAGGCTAAAGAGTATGTCTATATATGTTCTGTGCATGTAAAGAGCAAAAAGAATCCTCCTCGAGCTGCAACAAGAGTGGCTAAGATGCTGATGGCCTGAAATAAAGTATTTGGCATTTGTAATAGGTGTAAAGACACTAGAAGTAAAAAGACAGACATTTTGCTAGTCCCTGAGTGATGTTTGTCTGAAGTTGATAACTGAAGAAGACAAGTAGATATTTATGAGAAGAATTAGTTGGAAAGACTTGGGGGTACTATACACAAAAGCCCTAAACTAGCCACTAGCTTTGAAGACAGATTCATTGAACACCACAGTAGTTCCTGGACCCATTAACTGTGTGACCTTGAGCAAATAACAGCATGTACCTTGTTGGGCTGTTATCAGTAGTCTATGTTGCTGCATGTTCTGCAGTAAATTTACATAAATATCCAGGTTGTTTACCTTTATGTGAATTACAAGGCACTGAGCCTCCTTTTAAGTCACCCTTTGAGGGAGAGGCTATAGGAAAAAGGGAAAAGTCCTTAATTATTACTTCTGTTTCCCTCCCTCCAAACCCACTTACATATATTCCATTATATTTCAACATACATTTAAAAATTATTTAAAATATATACAAACTTTTATTTTAAAAAATGGCATCATATGCTACATACTTTCTGCATTTTTCACTCAACAGGAACTGTTGAGCATTTTTCTCTTGATTAAATGTTGAGCTGCCTCATTTTTACTGGGTTTAGTATTTTATTATGTGGAAATATTATAATTTCTTTAACTTGTAATGAACACTTATTTCTAATTTTATTTTGGTGAGAATCGCTAAGATGAACATCCTGGTCTACATTTTTTTTCTTTATACTACATTTCTACAAGTGGAATGCTGGGTCCAAACATACTCAAATCAACATTTTTATAAGTTTTGCTAAATTGCTCTCTAAATAACTTGTCACGTTTTGTTTGCAGTAAAGGAGTATGTAGTAGAAAAACCAAAACCAAACCTTCTTTTGCTTATATCTTTATTATAGTGGTTATTTCCATTACGAATAGGATTTTACCAGGAAGAGGAAGTATTTTCAAGTGAATTGGGTGATCAAGATAAAGGCAGGTGAAAGTACAGGGCATAAATTGAAGGTTAGTGAGTGAATAGGTATGGAACACCTGAAGGAGATAAGGCCAGGAAAATAATCTGGATTTATGTAGGATCCTTTTATTATTTTAAAAGTTTGGCTTAATTCTTTAAACAGTAGGCAGTCTTTAGACATTTTTAAGGAAGGGAATGATAGGACCACATTTGTTTTGGTTAGATCACTACCAGCAATTTGAAGAATGGTGTGGAGGAAGGGATTGAAATGAGACTTGTATCTCAATTAGAAAATCATCGCAGTTCTAGATACTCAGTCTTTATTAAGTGACTTTCTTATAGTCTTTCAATGGGATTAAGGTAGTCAGTCCTGGTTGAACACATGGAATCTTGAAAGAGTAGTATAGATTCAGTGTTTGTCTTCTGGAAACCTAAGGGCCAAACTAGAAGACGGTCATGTTGCATTGAGTTGGTGAAAAACTAAATAGAATGGAAGAGACTGGAAAACTACTAGCCTGCTAGGTCAGGTCTCAGGGTGGAGGGTAGGAGGTGGCATGGTGGTAGATATTACAGAGAATTTTAAATAGTTTAGTTAGTATTCCATTTTGAATTCTCACCACCACCAAGACAGTTGGAATTTTTAAAGGTCTACATTTAAAAATTCCAACTGTCTTGGTGGTGGTGAGAATTACAAATGGAATACTAACTAAACTGATTCTGAAATGGATATGGAGGAACTTGACTTTGTTTTGGATCAATACACTTTTATCCAGTTGATATCATTGTATTTTTCATTAATTAATTAAAATAATTACAGGTATATTTTCTAAACTTTTTATTTGAAGGTAAGCAGCTGCTCCCCTTGTCCAGCAGTGTACATAGCAGTGTGGGACAGGCAACTTGGCAGTCTTCAGGAGAAGCATCAAACCTGGTTCGAATGAGGAATCAGTCCCTTGGACAGTCTGCACCTTCTCTTACCGCTGGCTTGGTAAGTGTTAATAAAGCTGGTCCCTTGCTTTATGAATAAATCATTGATTGTCATTTGTCATTGCCACATCTATTACTTCCCTTTTTAGGATTTGGGTAGTTTAATTTCTCAAAGTGAAGAATAGAAAATTAATGGAATTTAATTGAATATATTCTGACCTCTTATCCTGTCACTGATACTAATTATGTACTGAGAGTTATGAAAAAATTCAGTATGAAGTGAGGGGTCCCAGCCCCACACTAGGGTTCCCAGCCCAGGTTTCCAGGGCCAGGAAGAGAAGTCTCCATAACTTCTGGCTGTAAAGGCTAGCAGGGATGGCTGCTGAGGGCTCCTGGAGTCCCAGGTGTTCCTCTTAAAGGGTTTGTACATGGACTGACTTGGACTCACTCTCTCTGAGGTCCAGTGCTGGGGCAGTAGTTCAAAAGGCACCAGAGACATATGGGAGGAACTGAATTGTATGGCATCAGGTCAAGAGCTGGAGGGGCAGTTTTCTCCCAGACAGAAGTGCTGGCAGAGACCATTGTTCCTTTTCTGAGACCTCCCCCGACAAAGCCAGCAGGCAGGAGCCATATCAGACTCTCCATTAGCCTGGCTATCATGGTTTGTCCCACTCTGGTGATTCCCAGAGCCCCCACCCAATCCCACTTTTGGACCCACCCAAGCTGTTTCCAGTGGCTTTTCTATACGAACAACCTGCCTTGGCTCATGCTTCACACTTACCTAAAATTTCTCTAGCAAGCAGCATATGGCTTCAGTGTGCCTCATATCTTTCTCTAAGTGACCCCAGGCCCAGCATTAACTGCAGCTGGCCTTGGTTTGTAGTTTGGCCTCTCCTGGGCACCTGCAAGCCTAGCACAAATACCAGCTATATGCAGACCGTTTTGTAGCTCATGCCAGGTGGCTCCAGGTAGAACATAGGTGGTGGCTGAAACCTGGCCTGCACTGCCAGGAGGCCCCAGAACCAGTGCATCAGGTGGACAGCTTCATATCACATAGAAGCACCCCCAACCACCTCCACAAACAACACTCAAGGGGGAAACTCAGTGGGCTCCGGAGCCCCCTGAAGTAAGTCCTGCTCCATGGACTGGACCCCTGCATAGCGGATCCTCCACAGTGGTTGCAGTCAGTCCTTATAGCCCATCAGCCTGGGGGTAAATTCCTCCCATTGATGTGTCAACAGCAATCAAGGGTCAACTACAACAGAAGGGTATACACAGCCCACACGTTGGGGGTAGGGGACACACACACTTGGAGGGCTCAGCTCAGGTGAACTGGGAGGCCATGCCACTGGACCTACAGGATACTTAATACATTAGGCCACTCTACCAGGCCCGGGAGACATAGTAGCTCTACCTAATACATACAAACAAACACAGGAGGCTACCAAAATCAGGAGACAAACAAACATTTCTCAAATGGAAGAAGAGAACAAAACTCCAGAAAAAAAGAAGTGAACAAAACTCTGGAAAAAAAGAACTAAACAAAATGGAGACAATCTACTAGATGCAAAGTTTAAGACACTGGTTATAAGTATGCTCAATGGACTTAGGGAAAGAGTAGATGAACTTAGTGAGAACTTCAACAAGAGATAGGAAACATAAAACAGAATTAGAAAATAAAAAAGAACCAGTCAGAAATGAAGAATACATTGGAGTAGATGAAGCAAAGGATCAAATCAGATATTTGGAAGATAAGGAAGCAGAAAATATCCAATCAGAACAAAAAAATCCAAAAAAAATGAGGATAGTATAAGGAGCCCTGGGACTTCAAGTATGCCAACATTTACATCATGGGGATGCTGGGAGATGAGAGAAAGCAAGAAATTGAAAACCTATTTGAGAAAGTAATGACAGAAAACTTTCTTAACCTAGGGAAGCAAATAGGCATACAAGTTCAGGAAGCACAGAGTCCTAAGCAAGATGAACCCAAAGAGGCCCATACCAAGACACATCATAATTAAAATGGCAAAGGTTAAACACAAAGAATCTTAAAAGCATCAAGAGAAAAGCAGTTGGTTATCTAGAAGGGAGCTCCCATAAAACTGTCAGCTGATTTCTCAACAGAAACTTTGCAGGTCAGTAGGGATTGGCAAGAAATATTCAGTGATGAAAAGCAAGGACCTACAACCAAGATTACCCAATAAAGCTATCATTTAGAATTGAAGGACATGAGCTTCCTAGATAAGAAAAAGCTAAAGGAGTACATTACCACCAAACCAGTATTATATGAAATATTAAAGGGTCTTCTTTAAGAAGAAGGAAAAAAAGAAAAAACACTAACAATAAAATGGCAATAAATACACATCTGTCAATAATTGAATGAACAAAATAAACTGACAAGCAAAACAGAAACAGATTCATGGATACAGAAAATATTTTGGCCTGGCCAGTGTGGGTCAGTGGTTGAGCATTGACCCATGAACCAGGAGATCATGGTTTAATTCCTGGTCAGGGCACGTGCCTGGGTTGTGGGCTTGATCCCCAGTAGGGGGCATGCAGGAGGCAGCTGATTGATGATTCTTTCTCATTGATGTATTTATCTTTCTCCCCCCTCCTCTGAAATTAATGAAAACATATTAAAGAAAAAAAATATTTTGACAGTTGCCAGATGGGAGGAGTGTTGGCGGGGATGGGTGAAAAGGTGAAGGGACTAAGAAGTACAAATTGGTAGTTACAGACTAATCATAGTTACAATAGTAAAGTACAGTATAGAGAATATAGTCAACAATATTATAATAACTATGTATGGTGTCAGATCATTATGAGATTTATTGGGATGATCACTTAGTAAGTTATATAATGTTTAATCACTGGGTTGTAGATCTGAAACTAATATAATATTGTATGTCAACTATAATTGAAAAATAAAAAATATTTAAAGTAAAACAAATAATTATGTTGTTTGTCCTTTTGTTGTTGAGTTGTAAGAGTTATTTATTCTTGATACTAGGCCCTTATCAGATCTATGATTTGCAGTTATTTTTCATTCTGTATATCTTTTCACTTTTGTTATAATGTCCTTTGATTCAGAAAATTTTTGAAGTCAAATTTATCTATTTTTTCCTTTTGTTGCTTGTGCTTTTGGTTTCATATCTAAGAATTCATTGCCAAATAACAGGTCAGGAAGATTTACCCCTATGCTATCTATTATGAGTTTTATGGTTTTAGTTCATGTATTTACTTCACTGATCCATTTAAAATGAACTTTTGTGTAAAGTGTGAAGTAGGGGGGGTGTCCAAATTAATTCTTTTGTATGTTGTTATCCATTTGTTAGATATTCTTAGAAACAGACATCTGGAGTAAAGATCAGTTTTAGAACTATAGATAGGGATTTGGAAGCTGTGAATTAAGTCATCATGGAAGAAAATGCAGAGAATGAAAAGGAATGTAGGGAAACATGAACAATTTATATGTGAAAGGGAAAATAGTACAAGATAGTGAAGTATTCAACTTAGTAAGAATTTTAGGAGTTTAGATTAAGTGCACCCACTGCCTATTAACTTGAGAATTGCTATACTTTACATTTTCTTTTTTATAAGAGGAACATGTTTCTAATGCCACCTAGTGTCTTTTCAAAGGTATGAGAGTAATATTTCATAAGAGACTTTAAAATAAAAAGTTGGGAGAGTTTCATGAGATTGAACAGACTATTAGTAGCCTAGTTGCTTAGTATCAAAAGGATTCTTAAGAAAGAAGCAACCCTAACCAGTTTGGCTCAGTGGATAGAGCGTCGGCCTGCGGACTGAAAGGTCCCAGGTTCGATTCTGGTCAAGGGCATGTACCTTGGTTGCGGGTACATCCCCAGTAGGAGGTGTGCAGGAGGAGGCTGATCGATGTTTTTCTCTCATCGATGTTTCTCATTCTCTATCCCTCTCCCTTCCTCTCTGTAAAAGATCAATAAAATATGTTTTTTTAAAAAGAGAGAGAGAGAGAAGCAAAAGAACAGACTAATTATTTTGCCTGAACAAATTGGAGCTGAATTTTAGATTGTTAAACATTTATCTTCTGTGATAATTTGTAAAGAATCTAAGGTGTACTGCCTTAAAAATAGTGGCTTTGGTATTTTAAAAAGGCACTTAAAATTATTTTTTAAAAGATAAATCAGTTTACTGGGACTATTGACATACATCTTATTGAATTTATTTAGGGTTAGAATACATGACAGAAATTTTATGCAAGCTTTGCACAAAGTTTTATATGTATAAAAATGGTATTATTAAATCACTAGTTAAAATTTATAACTGTAGGTTTCGTTCTGTTTTTTAAATTTTGTACAGAAAGTCTTTTAATTGAACCACTAATGTCATGTATTGCTATGCATAGGTTTATTTTTAACAATATTGAGGAAAGATTGAAAAGTACTGATTTTGGTAGATTCTGTCATGAAACAGTCAAATTATTAGAGATACTTGAGTTGGGATAGAAAACTAATATTTACTGGACCCTACACCTAAGTTCTTTTGCATACATATCTTCCTTATTTTCTCAGGAACTTTTTGAGGTAGATGTAATTATCTTATTTTACAGGTGAGGAAATTTCAGGCTCACAGGAATTTGTTCATTTGTTCGTTCATCTCGCAAATATTTTTGAAGTACCCCCTATATATCACCATTGTACTAGGTGCCTGGAATACAATAGTGAACAAAGCAAAGTTAAATACTTTGCTGTAAGTGAATGTTAGAGCAGGAATTCAAAACCAGGCAGGTCTGATTTTTTTTTTTTAATCCTCACACGAAGATATTTTTCCATTGGTTTTTAGAGAGAATGGAAGCAAGGGAGAAAGACAGAGAAATATTTATGTGAGAGAAACACATCGATTGGTTGCCTACTGCCCGCACCCTGACCAGGGCCCCGGGCTGGGGAGGAGCCTGCAATCGAGATATGTGCCCTTGACCAGAATTGAACCCAGAACCCTTCAGTCTGTAGGCTGACGTTCTATCCACTGAGCTAAACCGGCTAGGGCAGGTAGGTCTGACTCTGAAGTCTATTTTAAGAGTTG